TGTAGATTTTCAGAGATAGGTACAAACTGTTTAATTTGGAAAAGTTTGACCGTTGCCCTGGCAAAATGTATTTAGATACACATGTAAGACGATCCGCTCATGCATACACTGAAGTTTAATGCATGAAGTTTTATCTTTATTCAAACATATAAAAGTCAGAAGAAATAGGTTATTAGTGACTTATAGTGTAACCATAGAGTTTTAGATAATTTTTGTCATCAAACAATATATATCACGTGACTAACTACGGGTCCGGGTAGTCCTGTGGGTACCCGGGTCCTACCCAGGACCCACCCGACCTGGGTACCTGAGTTACCCGTCCATGCCCTACTACTGGTGAACCCTAAGGGGGTGGAGGTCGTGGGGAAGTTGCAGGGAGTGTGCTCCCCTCCCACTTTCAGTCACGGACCCTACTATTAGATGAGGTGAAATGGGGCTTAACGTCACGTCCAAGATTATTGCACTCATACTGCGACTTGCACGTGTAAGCAAGGATTATATCCTACCTAAATGTTATCCTGGGGGAAGTTTTACTCTATAGTATAGTATCCTACCTTAGTGTGGGAAATCTGGGATAGGTTATGTCCAAAAATTAGGGTAATTCATCCCAGTGAAACATACCTAAGTGGAAATAGGAAAATGTATCCTGGGATAAATTACACTAACTTGAATCAGTGTATATTATCCCATGACAGACTTCCTTTGCACATGCATTGCAAATGTAAAAATTCACTAGTGTATCCGATCCTAGGATAAATAAAACTAGCAATATAATAGGTTAAAATATTCTAGTGTTATTTATGTTGATAATTGCATTTTCATCATGTTTGGTTGGTGAGAAATGAGGGGGGGGGGGGGGGGGGGGGGGAATGTGGCGGTAAATATATGTTGATAGGATTAAACACACTGGTATGGGTTCAAATTCACAAGGGAGAATCATCCTGACACTAGTGAATTTCATCCCCAGGATTCAAAATTGGGTAGGATAATATTCACATTTACTTAAGCACGTGTGTGTGGCTTGCTTGTACTAGTCTGGACTAATGATGATTCGTAGTGCTAGCCCACTGAGATATCATGCCGCAGTTTAACGTGAATACCTAACTCAGACACAGTGTACTGACTCCGAGCTGACCAGTCCTTGTTTTAGCCCCTAATGACGAGCGCCAGACAGGGTAAAAACAAGTACCATCTTTTAACGTCTTTTGGTATGACGTGGCCAGGGATCAAACCCCGGACCTTCCACACTCAGGCTGTACGCTCTACCACTAGTCCAGGGAGGCCCCCTCCTATGCCAACCTGTTATGTATTTTGCTTCATGACTTGAGTATAGTGTGCATCCACCTATTTCGAAACCCTTGATCCACCTCTGGTGACTGTGTTTTTCTCACCTCTCTAACTTGGAGGTGTTGAACCCCACCTGACTAACTTGGAGGTGTTGAACCTCACCTGACTTACTTGGAGGTGTTGAACCTCACCTGACTTACTTGGAGGTGTTGAACCCCACCTGACTAACTTGGAGGTGTTGAACCCCACCTGACTTACTTGGAGGTGTTGAACCCCACCTGACTAACTTGGAGGTGTTGAACCCCACCTGACTAACTTGGAGGTGTTGAACCCCATCTGACTAACTTGGAGGTGTTGAACCTCACCTTATAAACCTATTCATTGGGATCGCTATTAAGTAAGAGAATTCTTTCTATAGGCATTAAAACCTATTGTGAGGTTTTACTTCCAAAGTAAAACCTATTAAGATGTTTAATTTTCGTTCGGGAGGTTTTACTTTGAATGTAAAACCTCAAATCCCATGTATAACCAAGTAACTGAAAAAATGACAAGTAACAATTCAAAATTTCGATACACATATTTCCAAACATTTATCAAGTTCTTCTTCGGTTAATGGCTTTCCAAATCGATAAGAAAAGTCATCGCTTTCTTCAGTGAATGAAGACTGGGTAACAAAATGAATGTCGTCGTCGTCGCTCATCTTTCCACTTCAGAGTCTCTGGTGAAAGGACAGCGAGGTTTCAAAACACGTGCTTTTAAACACGTGCTTATCAATGCTGCACAATTCGCACGTGCAGTAACTGCTAGCCGTTACTTTACAACTACCTCTATGTAACAGTTGGACTGTTTAAAGTCGAAAATCTTGTAAAGCAGAAAACACCTTTAAAATTTGCGAATTTTTGTTTTGAAAAGTTTAAAAGAAGTGGAATATTGCAACACAAACATTTAGAAACGGAAGATTTCACTTTCAGTTAAAAGTAAGTATTTTAGTTGTGTTTTGTTGTTGACACATCCAAGTGCTCTTGAACGCCTGGCAAGTCAGCGAATTTCACGTGCAAATTATGATATCACGTCTTCAAGGAAGCGCTATAATGAAGCGCCTCATTTATAGATGCTCGTTATAACATTTAATCAATTTAGAGGGTTTATAAATATGGAAAAACACTTTCCCTCGGTTTTGGTAGACAGAGCATGCCCAGGGCATTCGCCCCCTTGGTTTTTCCCTCTCCCCGGGGCATGCTCTGTCTACCAAAACCTCGTAAGCGTGTTTTCTCCAATACTGACTAACTTGGAGGTGTTGAACCCCACCTGACTAACCTGGGGGTGATAAACCCTAGCTGGCTAACCTGGAGGTGTTGAACCCCACCTCACTAACTGCATATGTGTAGATTTAGTAATATACATTATACTCCTGAGGTTCGAAAATGTACGTATGTTTCGAAACTGACAGATAAAAAAATGACTATTGACAAAAAGAATTCACATTTTTCGCCGCCTCTTAGATGAAATGAAAAAAACGATACATTTTGATCACTTCTGTTGGGAGAAATGTTTCAATTCTAACAAATAGCCCAGACTCGCTTTCGCTCATCAAATGCCAGAACTATGCACTCGTTTCATAAAAAATGGTATTACACGGGAGCGAGTTTGGTATTCTATATGTATCTTACCCGCATAATTTTCGCCCATTCACCAAAGTTGTCTTCATTAGTATGACAAGCGCGCCTTCACTTCCCAGGGACATATCTTGACAGAAAGCAGACGACACAAACACACCCAGAGTTATTGCCCTTGAATTACAATCGGATCAAGCTCCTTCCCAGCGCGTGACACCTTCGTTACACTCTCGGTAACATCGCTGCCACCAGTGTGGGCGCGGCCATCACAAGATTCTTGGAATTTGCCCTCTAACCCCAAATGTAGCAACGTTTATACTTTTGTTTATGTTTTTGGGAATGCCATCATAATTCATTTTGAAAAGGTTTACGACTGATCATGTTTTCCAGATGAATTTACGTTTTGTTTGTACAAACAGATAGGTTCAAATAGGAATGAAATAGAAATTCGAATGGACAAACAAAGTAAATAAGTTGGGCAAGATTTATCGGCGTCAAAGCAGTCATCACTTGTTAGTAAACATAACGGTCATTCGGTTGCGAGTTCAACTCTAAGCATGGTTGTGGCCACCTATCACAGTGGGGAGTTTTGACTGGTGGCTGCGATAGCATTCGTGTCCAACTCGTGTTGTTCCGGGACAACCCGGTTACGGAAAGGGGCGAGTGGTGACGAATGCTGAAATGCAAGGTTGTTCCGAGATAACATAATCATATCACTGTATTCGCAATGGTAACAAATTCGTCATTCTCTAGCAGGATATATCTAACTTGTACCTTATCTGTAAGCTGGGTGCTTGTGAAAACAAATTCCGCTTCAATAACTAATGAGAAATGAGTATCTTAATGCAAGGTAAGAAAATTCTACTCTGTCCTTGTAGCACGGGTTGCGAGCGGTACCTTTGATCTTACCCGTGCTGTATCATGGCAGTAAGAGCACGGTTTGTTAAAGATTATTACCATTGGCTGATGCCAAGATCAGCAAGCCCCGCCTACTAGCTTGAGAAATTTCAAACTTACAACAATGTTTCTTTAGTATTGTACACAGTGTTCAAGAGTAATAACGTAAATAAACAACAAAAAACAAAAGAAATGTTTAAAACTTTATTAAAACATTACAGTGTAACTGTCAAACATAAAAACAACTGGACACAGAACGCATTTTGCTAAATTCGGAATATTAATAGTTGAAATTTCTAATGTGCCTTTGAAAATTCCAAAGTTTACACTTGATTTAACAAATAGATTAAAGTTAAAAACGGTTCGAAGGCAGAAAGCATGTGACGTCATATTTAACGTCATATTATACGTCACTAAATTTTACACAAACTCGCGCAATTTTGGAATTACCGTCGCAACCCGTGCTACAAGTCACTTACAACACACCCACCTACTCGTCGTTTGGACGGTAAGAGAACGGATTGGCTTGGCATTTGATTGACAGACAAAATGATCACCTCGTCTTGGTGTGTTGTAACTATATCATACAAGGCCGGCCATATCTTGGCCCCTGCCTGCAGGCAATATAACACATATTTGGCCGCTAAATGTCTCGTGCGTAACGTCATGGAACGTTTGTGACGTAACAACGACAGATGGACGTCATATATGCGGTTATAACGTCACGTTTTGGCGGCTAAACGGACAATACAACATTAGTTTTCAAACAAATGTGGGTAACCTGAAGAACGTTGGCCAACTTGTGTTTTCACACGAAAAACATGTTACTTAACATGATAACATGAATACCTTTGATACAAGATGTCCTTTTCGAACAGGATAAGAGAACTAGTCCAATTAGAATCTTGGGTGTTTGTGAGTTTTTCCTCCAGGATCTGCACGTTCAAGTTTGTTTGTTTGTTGTTTAACGCCGCACTCAGCAATATTCCAGCTATATGACGGCAGTCTGTAAATAATCGAGTCTGGACCAGACAACCCAGTGATTAATATCATGAGCATCGATCCACGCAATTGGGATACGGTGACATGCATCAACCAAATCAGCGAGCCTGACTACCCGATCCCGTTAGTTGCCTCTTATGACAAGCATAGGCGCCTTTTACAGCAAGAATGGGTTGCTGAAGACCTATTCTACCCTGGACTGCTCCCACAATTGTACTTGTTGACGTTCATCAGCTGATAATTGAAAACAGTGCCTTTCTGATGAAGTCAACAAATAGAACTGCATTTTGTAGAAGTTGTCCACAAATACAACCTCAATTTTTACATTGACAGATACATAAATCATAACCGAACAATACATTTAAACACCAAACTTTAATTATTTAAAGTAAAGTATATTAACACGGAGCGTTGCTTTTTTCGTGACGTCATCCGTCCCCAGAAATAAATTGGGAGTTACGTCCCTTGGTTTTACATAAGTCATAAAATGGCGGCTATTACAATGACATTCTCTTGAAATAGAAGCTGCACCCAGCAAAGTTGGAAACTGAAAGAAATCCAGACCCGGTTGATGCTGAAAATGGATTAATATGAAAGTTCTGTGAACTCTGGGGTGAGTTTGAGTCATACTAAGGCTAGATAAGCGGCTGATGACGGGTATGGCCGCTTGAGGCGGCGCGGTTGGATTTCCGATACAATAGATCTATACACGACAGTGTGGAGTTTAGTAAGGGTCGCTATGTGGCTGAATTAATGCCGATGCGACGTAAAACATTAAGTCAAGTGAATTCTCTGTTCGAATGGATATACATGATCGTTCTGGCTTCAAAGCCTGCACGGGGCGGTCGGGTAGCCCAGTGGCTAAAGCGTTCGCTCGTCACGCCGAAGACCCGGGTTTGATTCCCGACATGGGTACAATGTGTGAAGCCCATTTCTGGTGTCCCCCGCCGGCTATTGCTGGAATATTGCTAAAAGCGGCGTCAAACCATACTCACTCACTCACTCAAAGCCTGCATCATTCACAGCCTAAGTCGCATGATGACATCGTCTCTATTTTTGACGTTATTTCTATTCACCGATTGAGGATTTCCTGTATAGCTTTTCCATATGTCTGCATTTCATTGATAAAGTAACCACACACTGACGTTCATCGGGAAATGAACGACAGTTAGCTTGGTAGTGTTCATCCAGACGAGGTCACCCGCTATTGTCAATATATAACGTCAACGCCAGAGAATAACCAGTCTCGATTATCGGTCGAAAAAGATTCCATTGGGTATGAATTGATCACTGGAAATCAGTGAAGACATGAGCTGATCGCGAAAAGAATATTATGAGTATGTCCTGTTCTAACGGAAGCACCCGCCTCGGGCATAGCATCCCAGTGGGCTATCACTATAAATTTGGCATTAGTCCGGACGAGAACAAGCAAGCAAGCGTTCAGGCGCTCACGCACGCACACACACACACACACACACACATGCACGCACACACACATGCACGCACACGCACGCACGCACACACACACACCTTGTTTGAGGATGTAACAGAAACTATTTCATATGATGTTTCAGAAGGTAGTTAAGAACTTCAGGTTTGCGAATAAATTTGGCCGGCTTGTACTGTACGCTGGATGCCTCTGGATTGACGCTCAGAATGAGCCGTCTGACGCCTTCAAACGTCCCCCTCTCCATCTGCAGCACCACTGGCTCCAGGACACCACCGTAGGCGACGATTTCTCCGTAGTCTTCATGACAGGAGGCGAGACATGTACCCAGCTGAAACAACCAGAGAGTCATTATATATGCGGTATAGACTGGTGTAATAGTATGTGTTTATAAGACATTTATTGTGATATTAATTTGTTTTTTTTTGTTTGTTTGTTTGTTTGTTGTCTATATCCCAGATATATGACGGCGGTCTGTAAATTATCGAGTCTGGACCAGAAAATCCTGTGATTGACATCGATCCGCGCAATTGGGATACGATGACATGCATCAATCAAGTTAGACTAACATTTAGTCTATGAAATCTTTTGTTACACAATACCCTTCTCGATTCTAAAAATATAAAAAGAGCTGGCTAGACTTGCTTTTGTATACGTTTCTAGATTGTTTTTTTTTCATAAAATAATTATATTCCAGTCATGGGATTACAACCAAGCCATCGGGCCTGACCACCCGATCCCGTTAGTCCCCTCTTACGACAAGCATAGTCGCCTCTTACGGCAAGCATGGGTTGCTGAAGACCTATTCTACCCCGGATCTTGACGGGTTGTGATATTACATGTACATGTGTGGTATATAGACCCTTGTAATATTACATACTGTATATTATTACATGTACAGTGTATTTTACGGAAGTTAGCTCACAGCTCGCACATGTCTCCATATGAACAGTAGGGGCTTCTTTTGCAACTGCTTGTGTCTATTTGCCAAAAATGATCTAATATCTTCGTATAGAAAGCTATGCAAGTTTTGTGTAAGAAATCACATATTCATTTCAAAAGTTGACACTAAGGGATGATACTGTTAATATGGTGACACTAGGGTTACATTTACAACTGCTAGCGTTCATGTCATGTAATATCTCTGGATAGAATGTTATGCGATTATGTTTAAGAAAACACGTATACAAGTAATATTTGTTTTGGAAAACAAACTATGCAATCATAAATTCATTGCAAAAGTTAACACTTAGGATTGATAAAGCAGCCCTAAGTGATCCTATGATGACACTTGGGGTTACATTTTCAGCTGCTGGTGTTCATTTGCCTAAAATGATCTAAAATCTCTGCATATAAAGTTATGCAATTGAGTTTTTAAGGACCTGTTTGAACATGACCTTAACACTCTTTTTAGAAAGTTGTATACTTGTGTTTTTGAAAACCTGTTTGAAAATAATATTTGTTTGTGAAAATACACAAAGTAAATATAGATTCATATAAAAAATATACCCGTGCTCGTAGGTTTCACCGGAGTGGTAAACGTCTGAGACCTTCATCAATTCGGGCTTTCCTCCCACATTAAGCTGATACACCGTGATATAACTGGAATACTGTTAAAAGCGGCGTTAAATCCAACCCACTCACTCACTCCAATCCCGGTTCGCCCCGATTATGTTTCCAGGTTTGTCAGCACCATACCGTGCACGTGGGTTTCACCGAAGGGGTAAATATCTGACACCTGCATCACTTCGGGTTTTCCTCCCACATTAAGCAGACAAGCCGTGTTACGACTGGAATACTGTTAAATCCAACTCATTCACTCACTCACTCTCTCACTCTTGTCTCAACTATTATAACAAGATAGAGTAACGCCCCCTTGTGAAGGATAAAATATTCACAGAAGCACTCATAAAATATCCTTACTTATTCTTTACGCATATATCTTCAAAAAGTTAGGTATAAAATATTTTCGTAAGCATTAGGTAACACGTGACCTCGGCCTTAGATATTTGATTTAGCGGTTTCAGTGTATTCCTTATTTGGTAGTTAGAGTGTGTGCACTGAATAAACATTTAAGTAACAATAAATATTAAGCTAGACCAATTATTAGCTTTGATAAATAAACAGCGGGAGCATGAAAAGTAGGGCAAGGTGACCTTTCCATATCAATGATAGTTGTTTACTAAGATACACAATGAAACACGCCACTCGTGTAAATATCTAGGTGTCGTACCACCGCATATTTGCCATGCTTTTCCTGAATCTTGTCAATCACATCAGTGCCAAAGGGACAGAGAATTCAATGGTATTATGATTATGATTATGATTATGATGATATACAGATAATTTAAAAAAAAAAACCCAGCAAAGAGGGATTAGGTGATCCTGACACAGTCAGGCTCGTTAGGCTCATCATCAGCTGAGGTCCCTAACGCGCAGCCTAGACAGCGAATGGGACTTCTCCCAGGAAGCCCTGCCCGGTCGAACCCACGGAGAACTTTTCAGAGAATGTGAAGACTTTCCAACACTGCAGCCTTCTGCATTACCCAGATTGTCAGAAGGGTCGTATCCCTGGTAGCAAACCCGGGTACTCTCCCAGTGTCAGTCAACAGATTGGGAGGTACCAAACCTAAGGCACCGAGAACAATGGGGAGTCCGACAACTTGGTACTTGGGATACAAGCGTGACATTTCGAAAGCGAGGTCCGCATATTTGCCATGTTTTTCCTCAATCTTGTCAATCACATTAGTGTCAAAGGGGACAGAAAATTCAATGATATAAATGATTTCATTGGATTTATCAAAAAGGACAAGATCACGTTTGTTGGCCTGGATACGTCCGAGGCTGTAATTGGGCCTATTCAAAAGAATTTTGTATTTATCATTTTCTATGACGCCCTCTACATATTCCGGGTCATACCATGGGTGGACCTCTGTGGCAAAACCACAAGCATGGCGAAGACGGTAATAAAATGATCGAGCTACACCATCATGTCGTTTAAGATACTGTGTTTGTGCCAAAGCTGGGCATCCACTGACAATGTGTTGGACAGTCTCATTAAATTCATTACATAATCTACATTTCATATTATATTTTACATTTTGTTGCAAAATCACACATTGACGGTTTCGATAGGGAAGTGATTGGTCCTGAGCAGCAAACAGAAAGTCTTCTGTTTCACTTTTCAGGCCAGACGACTTCATCCAAGCGAAGGACTCTGCAGGGTTGTTGATCTTCTCAACACACTGCACATAAACTCGATGCAGTGGTCGTTCAGATAGCTTCTCCTTTAAAGACTGAGTCTGGGCTGATTTGATATGGCACTTCGCTTTGTTGACACTCATTTCTGTACCGCCCAGCAGCACAGAACCATCAACACCGACATTGAGATTATGTCCTACATCCTTGGCTCGTTTAAAAAAACCTGTTGAATGCTTTGCCTTGTGTTTCACAATAGGATCATCAGACAAAAAGGGGCGGTCAGGTAGCCTATTGGTTAAAGCGTTCGCTCGTCACGCCGAACACCAGGGTTCGATTCACGACATGGATACAATGTGTGAAGCCCATTTCTGGTGTCCCCCGTCGTGATATTGCTGGAATATTGCTAAAAGCGACGTAAAACCATACTCACTCACTCACTAAGACAAATAAATGTGTGCAAACGTGCACAATGCAATTCTACCATTAAGAACCCAAACGTTAATCAAACCACGCCCTATTATTATTATTATTATTATTATTATTATTATTATTATTGTCATCATCATAATTATCATTATTATAGATTAAGAGTTATGGTTTCACCAGTTCCTTCTCTGTGTCTGTTAGAATCACATCCTCCACAAGTTCCACGAATATGTAGTAGAAACAGTTCTTTGGAATATTCCCTGAAACAAGAGTCGATCAGTCAAATGTATTTCGTGACGTAATATGTGGAGATTGTCAGTGGCAGCAAATGATTGAAGCGCTCGTAAAATGTTAAGGGCTGACGTGACCAGACTGTAACAGCAAGTGTGATGCAGATTGGATACATTTTGTCCTTTTAAAGGAACAATCGATGTTTCTGATTCCCTTTTTATGTGCCAATATAAGGAGATCATTCGTCCACACTTAATTTGCAAGACACTGAGCGGTTTAACAATGTGCCTATGCAAACTGGTGGCAGTTGTGAACCTTATATTTTGATTGCATTCGTCACCATTCGCCCCTTTCCGTAACCTGCAAGAAGACTCGTCCCCCTATCGATGACTGTTATGTGCGAAAATACGACAAACCAATCAGAATGCGCGTATGATTTCAAGTTCATCGTCAAAGAATCCCTCCGAAATAATTTTTGATTTTTGACTTACCACCGAGGTAACCAGTTAGTCTTTTGACTTACCATCGGAGTGACCAGTCAGTCTTTTGACTTACCATCGGAGTGACCAGTCAGTCTTTTGACTTACCATCGCAGTGACCAGTCAGTCTTTTGACTTACCATCGGAGTGACCAGTCAGTCTTTTGACTTACCATCGGAGTGACCAGTCAGTCTTTTGACCTACCACCGAGGTGACCAGTCAGTCTTTTGACTTACCATCGGAGTGACCAGTCAGTTTTTTGACTTACCATCGGGGTGACCAGTCAGTCTTTTGACTTACCATCGGGGTGACCAGTCAGTCTTTTGACCTACCACCGAGGTGACCAGTCAGCCTTTCGACTTACTACCGAGATGACCAGTCAGTCTTTTGACTTTCTACCGAGATGACCAGTTTGTCTTTTGACTTACCATCGGGGTGACCAGTCTGTCTATTGACTTACCATCGGAGTGACCAGTCAGTCTTTTGACTTACCATCGGAGTGACCAGTCAGTTTTTTGACTTACCATCGGGGTGACCAGTCAGTCTTTTGACTTACCATCGGGGTGACCAGTCAGTCTTTTGACCTACCACCGAGGTGACCAGTCAGCCTTTCGACTTACTACCGAGATGACCAGTCAGTCTTTTGACTTACCATCGGGGTGACCAGTCAGTCTTTTGACTTACCATCGGAGTGACCAGACAGTCTTTTGACTTACCATCGGAGTGACCAGTCAGTCTTTTGACCTACCACCGAGGTGACCAGTCAGCCTTTCGTCTTACTACCGAGATGACCAGTCAGTCTTTTGACTTACCATCGGGATGACCAGTCAGTCTTTTGACTTACCATCGGAGTGACCAGTCAGTCTTTTGACTTACCATCGGAGTGACCAGTCAGTCTTTTGACTTACCATCGGGGTGACCAGTCAGTCTTTTGACCTACCACCGAGGTGACCAGTCAGCCTTTCGACTTACTACCGAGATGACCAGTCAGTCTTTTGACTTACCATCGGGGTGACCAGTCAGTCTTTTGACTTACCATCGGAGTGACCAGACAGTCTTTTGACTTACCATCGGAGTGACCAGTCAGTCTTTTGACCTACCACCGAGGTGACCAGTCAGCCTTTCGTCTTACTACCGAGATGACCAGTCAGTCTTTTGACTTACCATCGGGGTGACCAGTCAGTCTTTTGACTTACCATCGGAGTGACCAGTCAGTCTTTTGACTTACCATCGGAGTGACCAGTCAGTCTTTTGACTTACCATCGGAGTGACCAGTCAGTCTTTTGACCTACCACCGAGGTGACCAGTCAGCCTTTCGTCTTACTACCGAGATGACCAGTCAGTCTTTTGACTTACCATCGGGGTGACCAGTCAGTCTTTTGACTTACCATCGGAGTGACCAGTCAGTCTTTTGACTTACCATCGGAGTGACCAGTCAGTCTTTTGACCCACCACCGAGGTGACCAGTCAGACTTTCGACTTACTACCGAGATGACCAGTCAGTCTTTTGACTTACCACCGAGGTGACCAGTCAGTCTTTTGACTTACCATCGGAGTGACCAGTCAGTCTTTTGACTTACCATCGGAGTGACCAGTCAGTCTTTTGACTTACCATCGGAGTGACCAGTCAGTCTTTTGACCCACCACCGAGGTGACCAGTCAGACTTTCGACTTACTACCGAGATGACCAGTCAGTCTTTTGACTTACCATCGGAGTGACCAGTCTGTCTTTTGAATTACCATCGGGGTGACCAGTCTGTCTTTTGACTTACCATCGGAGTGACCAGTCTGTCTTTTGACTTACCATCGGAGTGACCAGTCAGTCTTTTGACTTACCATCGGGGTGACCAGTCTGTCTTTTGACTTACCATCGGAGTGACCAGTCAGTCTTTTGACTTACCATCGGGGTGACCAGTCTGTCTATTGACTTACCATCGGAGTGACCAGTCAGTCTTTTGAATTACCATCGGGGTGACCAGTCAGTCTTTTGACTTACCACCGAGGTAACCAATCAGTCTTTTGACTTACCATCGGGGTGACCAGTCTGTCTTTTGACTTACCATCGGAGTGACCAGTCAGTCTATTGACTTACCATCGGGGTGACCAGTCTGTCTTTTGAATTACCATCGGGGTGACCAGTCAGTCTTTTGAATTACCATCGGGGTGACCAGTCAGTCTTTTGACTTACCATCGGGGTGACCAGTCTGTCTATTGACTTACCATCGGGGTGACCAGTCTGTCTTTTGACTTACCATCGGGGTGACCAGTCAGTCTTTGAATTACCATCGGGGTGACCAGTCTGTCTTTTGACTTACCATCGGGGTGACCAGTCAGTCTTTTGAATTACCATCGGGGTGACCAGTCAGTCTTTTGACTTACCATCGGAGTGACCAGTCAGTCTTTTGACTTACCATCGGAGTGACCAGTCAGTCTTTTGACTTACCATCGGGGTGACCAGTCAGTCTTTTGACTTACCATCGGAGTGACCAGTCAGTCTTTTGACTTACTACCGAGATGACCAGTCAGTTTTTTGACTTACCACCGAGGTAACCAGTCAGTCTTTTGACTTACCATCGGGATGACCAGTCAGTCTTTTGACTTACCATCGGGGTGACCAGTCAGTCTTTTGACTTACCATCGGGGTGACCAGTCTGTCTTTTGACTTACCATCGGCGTGACCAGTCAGTCTTTTGACCTACCATCGGGGTGACCAGTCAATCTTTCGACTTACTACCGAGGTAACCAGTCAGTCTTTTGACTTACCATCGGAGTGACCAGTCAGTCTTTTGACTTACCATCGGGGTGACCAGTCTGTCTTTTGACTTACCATCGGAGTGACCAGTCAGTCTTTTGACTTACCATCGGAGTGACCAGTCAGTCTTTTGACCTACCATCGGGGTGACCAGTCAGTCTTTTGACTTACCATCGGAGTGACCAGTCAGTCTTTTGACCTACCATCGGAGTGACCAGTCAGTCTTTTGACTTACCATCGGAGTGACCAGTCAGTCTTTTGACTTACCATCGGGGTGACCAGTCTGTCTTTTGACCTACCATCGGGGTGACCAGTCTGTCTTTTGACCTACCATCGGGGTGACCAGTCAATCTTTTGACTTACCATCGGGGTGACCAGTCTGTCTTTTGACTTACCATCGGGGTGACCAGTCAATCTTTTGACTTACCATCGGGGTGACCAGTCTGTCTTTTGACTTACCATCGGAGTGACCAGTCAATCTTTTGACTTACCATCGGGGTGACCAGTCTGTCTTTTGACTTACCATCGGGGTGACCAGTCAGTCTTTTGACTTACCATCGGGGTGACCAGTCTGTCTTTTGACTTACCATCGGAGTGACCAGTCAGTCTTTTGACTTACCATCGGGGTGACCAGTCTGTCTTTTGACTTACCATCAGAGTGACCAGTCAGTCTATTGACTTACCATCGGAGTGACCAGTCAGTCTTTTGACTTACCATCGGGGTGACCAGTCAGTCTCTTGACTTACTACCGAGATGACCAGTCAGTCTTTTGACTAACCATCGGAGTGACCAGTCAGTTTTTTGACTTACCACCGAGGTAACCAGTTAGTCTTTTGACTTACCATCGGAGTGACCAGTCAGTCTTTTGACTTACCATCGGAGTGACCAGTCAGTCTTTTGACTTACCATCGCAGTGACCAGTCAGTCTTTTGACTTACCATCGGAGTGACCAGTCAGTCTTTTGACTTACCATCGGAGTGACCAGTCAGTCTTTTGACTTACCATCGGAGTGACCAGTCAGTTTTTTGACTTACCATCGGGGTGACCAGTCAGTCTTTTGACTTACCATCGGCGTGACCAGTCAGTCTTTTGACCTACCATCGGGGTGACCAGTCAATCTTTCGACTTACTACCGAGGTAACCAGTCAGTCTTTTGACTTACCATCGGGGTGACCAGTCAGTCTTTTGACTTACCATCGGGGTGACCAGTCTGTCTTTTGACTTACCATCGGAGTGACCAGTCAGTCTTTTGACTTACCATCGGAGTGACCAGTTAGTCTTTTGACCTACCATCGGGGTGACCAGTCAGTCTTTTGACTTACCATCGGAGTGACCAGTCAGTCTTTTGACCTACCATCGGAGTGACCAGTCAGTCTTTTGACTTACCATCGGAGTGACCAGTCAGTCTTTTGACTTACCATCGGGGTGACCAGTCTGTCTTTTGACATACCATCGGGGTGACCAGTCTGTCTTTTGACCTACCATCGGGGTGACCAGTCAGTCTTTTGACTTACCATCGGGGTGACCAGTCTGTCTTTTGACTTACCATCGGGGTGACCAGTCAATCTTTTGACTTACCATCGGGGTGACCAGTCAGTCTTTTGACTTACCATCGGAGTGACCAGTCAATCTTTTGACTTACCATCGGGGTGACCAGTCTGTCTTTTGACTTACCATCGGGGTGACCAGTCAGTCTTTTGACTTACCATCGGGGTGACCAGTCTGTCAATTGACTTACCATCGGAGTGAACAGTCAGTCTTTTGACTTACCATCGGGGTGACCAGTCTGTCTTTTGACTTACCATCGGAGTGACCAGTCAGTCTATTGACTTACTACCGAGATGACCAGTCAGTCTTTTGACTAACCATCGGAGTGACCAGTCAGTCTTTTGACTTACTACCGAGATGACCAGTCAGTCTTTTGACTAACCATCGGAGTGACCAGTCAGTTTTTTGACTTACCACCGAGGTAACCAGTTAGTCTTTTGACTTACCATCGGAGTGACCAGTCAGTCTTTTGACTTACCATCGGAGTGACCAGTCAGTCTTTTGACTTACCATCGCAGTGACCAGTCAGTCTTTTGACTTACCATCGGAGTGACCAGTCAGCCTTTTGACTTACCATCGGAGTGACCAGTCAGTCTTTTGACCTACCACCGAGGTGACCAGTCAGTCTTTTGACTTACCATCGGAGTGACCAGTCAGTTTTTTGACTTACCATCGGGGTGACCAGTCAGTCTTTTGACTTACCATCGGGGTGACCAGTCAGTCTTTTGACCTACCACCGAGGTGACCAGTCAGCCTTTCGACTTACTACCGAGATGACCAGTCAGTCTTTTGACTTTCTACCGAGATGACCAGTCTGTCTTTTGACTTACCATCGGGGTGACCAGTCAGTCTATTGACTTACCATCGGAGTGACCAGTCAGTCTTTTGACTTACCATCGGAGTGACCAGTCAGTCTTTTGACTTACCATCGGAGTGACCAGTCAGTCTTTTGACCTACCACCGAGGTGACCAGTCAGCCTTTTGACTTACCATCGGGGTGACCAGTCAGTCTTTTGACCTACCACCGAGGTGACCAGTCAGTCTTTTGACTTACCATCGGAGTGACCAGTCAGTCTTTTGACTTACCATTGGAGTGACCAGTCAGTCTTTTGACCTACCACCGAGGTGACCAGTCAGTCTATTGACTTACCATCGGAGTGACCAGTCAGTCTTTTGACTAACCATCGGAGTGACCAGTCAGTTTTTTTACTTACCACCGAGGTAACCAGTCAGTCTTTTGACTTACCATCGGGGTGACCAGTCAGTCTTTTGACTTACCATCGGGGTGACCAGTCAGTCTTTTGACTTACCATCGGGGTGACCAGTCTGTCTTTTGACTTACCATCGGCGTGACCAGTCAGTCTTTTGACCTACCATCGGGGTGACCAGTCAATCTTTCGACTTACTACCGAGGTAACCAGTCAGTCTTTTGACTTACCATCGGAGTGACCAGTCAGTCTTTTGACTTACCATCGGGGTGACCAGTCTGTCTTTTGACTTACCATCAGAGTGACCAGTCAGTCTTTTGACTTACCATCGGAGTGACCAGTCAGTCTTTTGACCTACCATCGGGGTGACCAGTCAATCTTTCGACTTACTACCGAGGTAACCAGTCAGTCTTTTGACTTACCATCGGGGTGCCCAGTCAGTCTTTTGACTTACCATCGGGGTGACCAGTCTGTCTTTTGACTTACCATCGGCGTGACCAGTCAGTCTTTTGACCTACCATCGGGGTGACCAGTCAATCTTTCGACTTACTACCGAGGTACCAAGTCAGTCTTTTGACTTACCATCGGAGTGACCAGTCAGTCTTTTGACTTACCATCGGGGTGACCAGTCTGTCTTTTGACTTACCATCGGAGTGACCAGTCAGTCTTTTGACTTACCATCGGGGTGACCAGTCAGTCTTTTGACTTACCATCGGGGTGACCAGTCAGTCTTTTGACCTACCATCGGGGTGACCAGTCAATCTTTCGACTTACTACCGAGGTAACCAGTCAGTCTTTTGACTTACCATCGGAGTGACCAGTCAATCTTTTGACTTACCATCGGGGTGACCAGTCAGTCTTTTGACTTACCATCGGGGTGACCAGTCAGTCTTTTGACTTACCATCGGGGTGACCAGTCAGTCTTTTGACTTACCATCGGAGTGACCAGTCAGTCTTTTGACTTACCATCGGGGTGACCAGTCTGTCTTTTGACTTACCATCGGAGTGACCAGTCAGTCTATTGACTTACCATCGGAGTGACCAGGCAGTCTTTTGACTTACCATCGGGGTGACCAGTCAGTCTTTTGACTTACCACCGAGGTGACCAGTCAGTCTTTTGACTAACCATCGGGATGACCAGTCTGTCTATTGACTTACCATCGGAGTGACCAGTCAGTCTTTTGACTTACCATCGGGGTGACCAGTCAGTCTTTTTACTTACCACCGAGGTGACCAGTCAGTCTTTTGACTTACCACCGAGGTGACCAGTCAGTCTTTTGACTTACCATCGGGGTGACCAGTCTGTCTATTGACTTACCATCGGAGTGACCAGTCAGTCTTTTGACTTACCATCGGGTTGACCAGTCAGTCTTTTGACTTACCATCGGGGTGACCAGTCTTTCTTTTGAATTACCATTGGGTAGACCAGCCTGTCTTTTGAATTACCATTGGGTAGACAAGCCTGTCTTTTGACACACTAGCGTGGATACCCGTCGCTGTCACTTGACTTACCAAGAAGTTTGTCCACATGGATATTTTCCGTTGCCATGTACTGCTGTATTGTACCCGTCCATTTCTCCTCTGCCATTCTGACAGCTTCATTGAAAACTACTTCGGGATACCTGTCCGTGTTTGCGCTGAGAAAATCGCCAATTCTGTAAATATAACAATTAGAGGAGGTGTAGTCATGTTTAAGTTCGTCTTTCTGATATAAAGGCTGATTGAATGATTGAGTTCAGTGTAGTCATGTTTAAGTTCGTCTTTCTGATATAAAGGCTGATTGAATGATTGAGTTCGGTGTAGTCATGTTTAAGTTCGTCCTTCTGATATAAAGGCTGATTGAATGATTGAGTTTGGTATTTTTTATTTTTTACTTCGTCTTTCTGATATGAAGGCTGATTTAAAGCCTTTCGGTCGATCGAATGATTGAGTTTGGTTTAATTCTGCTAGGACCAGTATTTCAGTTATATCATGGCGCATCAACCCGTGAAGATCCGGGCCAGAATAGGTCCTCAGCAACCCATGCTTGCCGTACAAGGCGACTATGCTTGTCGTAAGAAGCGACTAACGGGATCGGGTGGTCAGGTTCGCTGACTTGGTTGACCAAAATGTGCGATCTGCAACAGTTATACGGCCCGTCTGTCACTCGTCGCATTTAACTAAAAGTATTAAAGCCATCAATTATTAAAGACTTATATCTTACGGTGACCAAAATTGATTTGTATGTCTCCACCATTCACTATAGGAGGATGTGGGAGCAACTTTTAGCCATCGTCACAGTGAATCTAGATGTTTAAAACACAACCTGCTCTAGTTTTATATGTATGAATAATAAAGAGATAACTCAAGATCTTGGTAGGTAAAAAATACATAAAATTCCCTGACAGTTGCACGACGTTTATGGTACGAATAACAAATATGACTCGTGTTCTCAGCTATGTCCCTCTTGATTGCTGCAATTCAAATTATAAAAGGTTATAAACACTGTGTTATCTGCCAGCATAAAGACATATAAGTGTTATAAGTGTTATAACCATCAGAACTTCAAAAATATATAAGTTTGGAACTTATACATAAGTATCCGTTCGTATATAAATATAGCCTACTTGTTGATACAACCTATCTTGATTAAGTTAAATGAATAAACTTGTTATACTTTTTGTTATGAGTACAGTACACACTTGCATCTACAATCACGTGAAGTCCGCAGTGTTAAGAAAGCCCTCAACTAAAGTCGGCACATATTATTATGGACCATACAGTTAATGATACCGACATTTCCCGTATTTAAAACTCGGAACTCTATACGAAAAATAAAAACTTCAGGGAATTGACTTATTATCCTACATTAACATAAGCAAATCTAACATAACATAAAATATACTGAACAACAAAAAGTCCTGTGACATTGAATAAGATTTAATGCAAAGTTATGTTTTTTACCAAATCTGAAACAATTTCGGTTTGCACCAGATAAAAGACGCCTGTAAGTGTTCAAATGGTTTAATTTGCCATACTGACTTCAGAAAATGCGTGATTTCATTAAAAAAAACCCATGAACATGCCAAATGTCAATTTACAAATCAGTAGCGTGTGTGTCTACCTCTGGTCGCGATGCAAGCACAAACATCTTTGTTTCATGGAATGGACCAGGCGTCTCACAAAGTCCTGCTGGAGCATGTTTCGAAGTTCCTGGAGTGTCTGTGGAACACGTGGTTGACGTCGAAGGCGCCGATCCATCTCATCCCACATGTGCTCGATTGGTGAGAGATCAGGGGAGCGAGCCGGCCAGGGGATGACATTCACGTTGTTTTGTTGAAGAGAATCCTGAACAAGTCGAGCAATATGAGGCCGGGCGTTGTCATGTTGAAAGGTAATGCCTGGGCCATGACGACGCAAAAAAACGGTAGAACAACAGGGCCGATGATCTCGTCGTGGTAGCGCTGTCCATTGAGATTTTCCTCTACCACTATCAAACGGGTCCTCTGTTTTGCTGTAATCCCACCCCATACCATAACGCTGCCGCCCCCGAACCGATCTTCTTCCATGACACAATGATTGACGTAACGTTCACCTCGACGTCGGTACACTCAAATCCGTCCATCGCTGTGGCTGAGGTGAAAACGAGACTCATCAGTGAATAGAACTTGTCCCCACTGCATGGCCGTCCTGCGTAGACGCTGTCTGCACCACTGTAGACGTGCTTCACGGTGGTTTCCTGTCAAAATGGGACGTCTGGCGGGTCTTCTGGCGACAATCCCTGCACATCTGAGGCGACGACGTACAGTTTGTGAAGATTTTCGTCGAAGGCCAGGGATGCTTCTTGCAGTCACTGTTGCTGGCTGGAATCAATTTCGTAGGTGTGTTGTTCGAATCCAGTTGTCTTGTCAATTATTGGTTACGCGTGGCCTGCCACTCCGAGGATGGTCTCTGACTGCATTCGTCTGTTGCCAACGTTGCCATTAACACCAAATGGTGTTTCTGTGGACGTTAAATTGTCTTGCAACATCACGTTGACTCGGTCCTGCTTCAATCATACCAATGGCTCGCAGACGCTCATTTTCGGATAGGCGTGGCATTTCGTAATGTTGAATAATTGCGTAATTTTGTTGTTTTTCTGAGTGGTTGTTGTCAGCACGATGCTAAACAATGCATATGGAATCCCGTAAACGCACATGTTTTTTTTTACCCATTCTTGGGTAGTGAAATGCATGGGGCTTGCATAAAACTCAACTTTTGCATGGAATGCATGCTTTTCTGTAGCAGTTTTTGTGACTTGATTCCATACATGTACTGCAATATTGAAAACCAAACTCTACTTGTTTGAAAAATACACTAAAATATTGGTGTTACAGGACCTATTGCTGTTGAGTATACTTCAAAATACTACAGATCTTTTGCTTTGTGGAGATGCTGCACTGACTAAACATGTCGTCATTCACACAATCTTCACAACAATCCTACCTTTGACAAAACTGATACTTGGGTGCAGTCTCTTCATATCCAGTTATTTTAACCAGATCTTGGCTCCTGTACCTGAACAGACCTGTTCTCGTGGTGACGACAATTTCATACGTCTTCCCGATCTCAACCTACAATGAAATTGTATCTGTCTTTCTCTTGGTGACGACAATCACATACATTTTCCCGATCTCAACCTACAATGAAATTATATCTTTCTATCTTGTGATGACGACAATCCAATACGTCTTCCCGATCTCAACCTACAATGTAATCATATCTGTCATTCTCGAGCTGACGACAATCTCGTAGGTCTTCCCGATCTCAACCTACAAGATGAATGATTTATAAATAAATTGGAACTAATATACGTATTATTTTTTCGATTCATTTATAATCATTATTGAGCACAGGAATGCAGTTTATTAGGTGTTATATATATTGACAACATATTGACAACAAAAACGTCGCCGATCCGAGGACTGCTTATCTACCGTGTGACATCTTTTGCGATAAATCAGTTAGGTCTGTATGATTACTGCTGGCAATGGTTATACGTGTAACAAAAATGACATAATTACTTTAATAAAGCGACAAAACCCTTTCCATATCCAATAGAAATCTCTGCATAAAGCAGAGTCGATTGTACAATTCAGACTATATCATGTAAATCACTATCAAACAGGTTTTCGCGGAAAGGTGAGCATATCCTGACCCAACGTCGGCCCCCGTCACAAACACATGCAAAGGTAAGTCAATTGACTCGTTAATCGGGAATGTGTTATTCCTGACGTTTTCGCTAGGAACACTATCGTTTAATGAGGTTTCAAAGTAAATGAAGCAGAACAAAAGGGTAGAAATGACCTGAAAATATACCGATCTTACCTCTGTGGCTAGGAAAGTATCCGGCTGTTCTTTAGATGTATCCTCCTCTCGAATAAATTCATAGAAGTTGGCTTGTGGGTTGATTGTGTACTCGACAACACCTGGGTAACTGTCACGCGAATTGACACAAACTCCATACAGTGCCTCTGTGGCGATGTGGTATGGGGAGAAGATGGGCGTGTCGCCTATATAACGCTGTAACAGTTTGGCCTGAAATGGATTATTTAAAGCATTACATTTGACCTCTGTTCAACAAAGTCACCTTAGCGCAACGACTGTCGTAAGTTTTCGAAGTATGAGAGTTAGGATCTTAGTGCTGAGGTCGTTTTGTGGAACGTGCGTCTAACCAATAAAAAGTCTTATGAAATCGGCATGTCGAATGCAACATTCTGCATCTGAAACGTGGCAAAGTAGAAGAGGGAGAATCAGTCAGTTTACTTGGGGGAGGAGTTATTTCCCATCTCTTGGAAAGTCAGGCCTATACATACTTAGGGATGCAGGTTAGGGGCGAAATCAGAATGCCCATTTCAAGGAAAAAATGAGGGTAGAGTACAAATGTAGACTTAAGAAAATCAGAGTTCAGAGATGAACGCTCGCAAAAAGTTAAAGCCACAAATACTTATGCTGTACCTGTTCTTTCATATTCTTTTGGTGTTGTTGATTGGAAGAAACAAGAAATTCAGGGATTTGGCACCCTCACACGAAGAATCATGTCAGACAATAGATCCCACAACCCTCGCTCTTCCCCCAATCGCTTATGTTTACCAGTTATGGTGGGAGGGCGTGGTTTGATTGATATGGAGGCTCTTCATCAGAGAACTGTTTTGTGCACTTTTGCACACATTTATTTGTCCTATGATCCTCTTGTGAAGCACGTCAAGACTCATGATGAAGACAAGGCAGTCCAAAAGATTTCTTAAACGACCCAAGGATGTGGGACATAATCTGAATGTTAATATTGATTTTGTTGATAGTTCTGTGCTGCTGGACGGTACACAAATGAGTGTCAACCAAGCGAAGTGCCATATCAAATCGCCCCAGACTCAGTTTTTCAAGGAGAGGCTATCTAAACGACCACTGCATCGAGTTTATGTGCAGCGTGTTGAGAGGTTCAGCAACCGTGCAGAGTCCTTTGCCTGGATGAAGTCGACTGGCCTGAAAAGTGAAACAGAAGACTTTCTGTTTGCTGCTCAGGACCAGTCACTTCCAACTCGAAACCGTCAATGTGTGATTTTGCATCAAAATGTAAATATGAAATGTAGATTATGCAATGAATCTAATGAGACTGTCCAACACATTGTCACTGGATGCCCATCTCTGGCACAAATACAGTATCTTAAGTGACACGATGGCATGGCACGATCCTTTTATTGCCGTCTTCGCCATGCTTGTGGTTTTGACACATGTCCATCCATGGTACGACTCGGAATATGTAGAGGGCGTCATGGAAAATGATAAATATGGTGTTAAGCCTCAGACGTATCCAGGCCAACCAATCTGATCTTGTTCTTTTGGTTTAATCCAATGAAATCATTAATATAATTGAATTTTCTGTCCCTTTTGACACCAATGTGATTCACAAGATTCAGGAAAAACATCGCAAATATGCGGATCTCGTTTTCGAAATATCACGCTTGCATCCCAAGTACCAAGTTGGCCGACTTCCCAATGTTCTCGATGCCTTACGTTTGTTACCTCCCAATCTGTTGACTGACATTGGGAGAGTACCCGGGTTTGCTGCCAGGAATACAGCCCTTCTGACAATCTGGGTAATGCAGAAGGATGCAGTGTTGGGGAGTCTTCACATTCTCCGAAAATGTTCTGGGTGGGTTTGACGAGGCAGCGCTCCCTGGGAGAAGTCCCACTCGCTGTCTGGGCTGCGTGTGGAGGGGGCAAGGGCCCTGAGCTGATGATGAGCCTAACCGGCCTGACTGTGCAAGGATCACCCTAACCCTCTTTGCCCCGTTTATGTATTTTAATAAATAAATAACAGTTTAACTGTTTCATCAAAGACCCGCCGCTGAATTCCGGGGAAGAATCGTCAAGCCCATTGAAGACATTGCAGATCGTCATGGTCATGCCATTTGCGTGTAATCGGACCAACTACTGATTCATCCCAAGAAGATCAATGATGTATAGGTTAAGTATTACCTCAAACAAATTTCTAAACCGATCATTCTATCCTTTGATGAGCCTAAGCCACAGTAATAGATATGTAATGGTGTCGTCTGTGGCTTAACGCAACGTTCCTATACACTGACATCGTCAAATACATGCAGGCCGCTGTGATACGAGGGGCGTTCAATAAGTTTTGCAACTTCAATATAAGACCAAGTCGCAGAATATCTTTTGCACTTTTTAATTTTTCAATATAATCTTCTTTCACCTCAATACACTTATTCAATTTGTCCTTCAAGATTTTAATACCACTTTTATGGAAATCCGCAGATTGGCCCTCTAACCAAGCCTCTGTGGCAGCCTTTATGTCCTCGTCATCCTGGAAGCGTCTTCCACGTAGGGCAGATTTCATTTGCCGGAACAGGAAATAGTCACTGGGGGCTTAGTCTGGGCTGTAGGGTGGGTGATTTAACTGGAAGACAGAGGCGTGGTTAGAGGGCCAACCTACGGATTTCTATAGAAGTGGTATTAAAAGCTTGAAGGACAATTGAAATAAGTGTATTGAGGTGAACGAAGATTATATTGAAAAATAAAAGTGCAAAAGATATTCTGCGACTTGGTCTTATATTGAAGTAGTATCAGTCATGGTGTCTATAGTTGCCGTATACGTTTGTTTTGTTCTTTTGGGGACTAGCTACAAATTCTATCCATTTTAGCTGTAAAAACGGTAACGTTATTTTTCGGGCATTATTATTTGCAGAAGCCCCCGGTCAGTTCAACTGCCCTTCTTTGCCGACTACTCTATAATCTGTGTTAATAAAGTCACGAACGTGATGTCTTAAAAAATATAGTCCTTGCACATCGCAGTTTAATGATATACAAACACAAAACAATGTCGAATAACGAATTTCAGTGCCAGAACTGTCATGTGAAATATGTGAGGTGGGTTTGCGAAAATCCAATACTGCTTTTACTGACGGTATACGGTCTTATAATAGGTTAATAACAACCATCTTGGATGTTTACTGATGGTATACGGGCTCATAATGGGTTCTGCTCCCTGATTGGTCAATTTCACTTTGAGGCTAAGTAATATTTCACACTGGGCATAAAACATCATTCACATACAATTTTCGCCTCAATAACTTAGAGACCCTCACTCACTCACAACCAATACGACCCGTGAAGATCCGGGGTAGAATAGGTCTTCAGCAAACCAGGCGACTTTGCTTGTCGTAAAAGGCGACTAACGGGATCGGGTGGTCAGGCTCGCTGACTTGGTTGATGCATGTCATCGATCCCAATTGCGTGGATCGATGTTCATGATGTGAATCACTGGATTGTCTGGTCCAGACTCGATTATTTATAAGACCGCCGTCATATAGCTGGAATATTGCTGAGTGCGGCGTAAAACAACAAACCAAACCAAACCACAACCAATACTAACTGAGTTTTCGTAGTTTCCCGTGGCCGTCCCTTTGATAAGACAGCAACCAGGCCAAAGCTTGAGCACCATATTCTGACCTCCATAACTCAGAGCTTCCCTCACTGCAGCGGCTCTAGCTGGGTCTGGTCTAATATGACATTGAAGCTGTCGACGAAGGTCATCTGTGATGCTCAGCTCCATGGACAAAGTCCCACGCTCCACATCATCACACAGCTCCCCCCACCTCTCCTCCACCATACGGAAGAAGTTCAAAGCAACTGAAGCAGTCAAGAAGGACAGGACTTTGAGGTCGGGTTCCAGAAGGCCAAAGAAAGCATGGACGTACAGCGACTCTTTCTCCGTCGCTATCGTATACACAGGAGAAGGGGAGGCTGTAAATGGCCAAGGTGGGTAGCTGGAAGAGGAGGCGGGACCCCGTAGGACCCCCGGGGCGATCTCCTTTGGGGGATCGATCACTCGAACGTCATGAAGCTTCTTTAAAGAATACATTCCAGGATAAGAATACATTTCAGCCTTCACACATAGTAGAGACATCAATATAGTATTGGTGTAGCTCTCACTATTCCGAGGAAAGATTTTGCTTCTACCAGACGATGTTCCAGACGTGATAGATAGGTAGTTCACGGGTTCTGGGAACAGTACATTGTCCTTTCCCTCCAAAACCAGTTGAACATATTTCTCATACGATCTGTAATCAGTCAGTTGGTGCTGGGAACGAAACTCGCCCGTAGTCCTAATCCTATGAAAGCTGTGGTCTGTTCCGTACACGGTGTCCGAAGACTTCTGAAGGATCTCCTTTAGTGTGAGGTCTTGATATTTGGCTGTATGTGTAATCCAGGCATGGAAGCGTTGTCTGACTGAGGCATTGCTTGTCCTGAGATTCCTGTTGAACGTCAGCTGGTTGTACAGTGACTTGAATGTGTGGCTTCTGGCGGGTGAGAGACTTGCAACATGAAGAAGGCCACCAGCCATCACCATCATTGCCGATGCCAGAATGAACTCTGAAAATGAATGTTTTAATAAAAGCATCAATTATCACATCCTCATATATAGAATATCCGTAAGATACACGTTAGAGTAAGTGAGTATGGTTTTACGCCGCTTTTAGCAATATTCCAGCAATATCTCTGCGAGGGACACCAGAAATGGGCTTCACACATTGTACCCATGTCGGAATCGAACCCGGGTCTTCGGCGTGACGAGCGAACGCTTTAACCACTAGGCTACCCGACCGCCCCTCGCGTTAGAATAGATCTCAAACAACCCTTGCGTGTCGTAAGTCGTGACTAACGGGATCGGGTGGTCAGGCTCACCGATTTGGTTTATGCGTGTCATGATTGTATCCCATTTGCTTAAATTGTGTGGATCGATGCTCATGATATCAATCACTGGATTGTGTGGTACAGACTCCATTATTTACAGACCGCCGTCATATAGCTGGAATATTGCTGAGTCCGGCGTTAAACAACAAACAAAGAACTGTTAAAATTCAGCATATTGAAATATGTTTGGTGACAAAAAATTACTAATCACCCAGTAGTCTAAAGCGGCGACTAACGGGATCGCGTGGTCAGGCTCGCTGACTTGGTTGATGCATGTCATTGTATCCCAATTACGTGGATCGATGCTCATGATGGCAATCACTGGATTGTCTGGTCCAGATAGGATTATTTAGACTTCCGTCATATAGTTGGAATATTGCTGAGCGCGGCGTTAAACAAACAAACATGATAGTTGCGATACATTGATCATTTGTTCAGTGATGACCTGAAGCTAAGTTATATTCGACAATCTTAGGAAACTAATGTTTTAAATCCAACCAATGTCTGACAGATACATTACGGCTGTGATGTACAATAAATGGGACAAAGTTGGACACATTCAGCTTACCCTGACTGCGTGAGACACGAGACATAGTATAGTGTTCGACCCGTGAAGAGCCGGGGTCTTCAGCAACCCATGCTTGCCGTAAAAGGCGACTATGCTTGTCGTAAGAGGCGACAAACGGGATCGGGTGGTCAGGCTCGCTGATTTACTTGATGCATGTCATCGATCCCAATTGCATGGATCGATGCTCATGATATCAATCACCGGGTTGTCTGGCCAAGACACGATTAATTTAAGACCGCCGTCATATAGCTGAAATATTGCGGCGTTAAACAACAAACAAACATAGTATAGCGTTCATCATATCAATCACTGGTTTGTCTGGCCCAGTTTTCGATTACTTACAAGTCGTCGACATGTTGGAATTTTGCTGAGTAACGCGTTAAAAACAAAAAAATGAAACGTACCAATCACATTAATCCATATCACCTGGAAGTCCTTCTCTGTGTCCACGCACAGACATTTTATTCCATGAGCGGCAAGTGTCGTCCCCGTGATGACCAGAGTCACCGCGACGCTGGAAAACACGAGTACCCAGTTCATGGTAACCCATTGACTGAAGCTTTCTTTCTTCTGACAACAGTTGAGCTCCTCGGATGAATGTTCTCTGGGTGAATTAGATTTGACGTTACTGAAGTTTTCGAAGTTTCTCACATCACTTCTCTGTTAATTTGGACAAAAACCGTCAAAACTTGTCACTTCGTTGTCAGTGCTTAAAGCGATGAGTTTTATATTACCACACACGCCATTACCAAAAATGAATTATTCAACAATAAATATACTTGTCATTGTAGTGTCAAACGTCATAGAATGTGGGTCAAGGTATGAGGGCCTAGTGGTTAAAGTGTTCCCTCGTCAAGCCGAAGACCCGGGTTCGCTTGCCCTCATAAGTACAATGTGTGAAGCCCATTTCTGGTGTCCCCCACCTTGATATTGCTGGAATATTGCTAAAAGGGGCGTACCACAATACTCACTCAAGGAGCGTCCGGTCGATATGGACATACTTATATTTGTAATATCTGTGGTATCTCTAATGATGTTACTCACTATTAATCGGGACCCGTGAAGATCGGGGTAAAGAATATGTCTTCAGCAACCCATGCTTGTCGTCAGAGGCGACTATGCTTGTCGAAAGAGGCGACTAACGGGATCGGGTGGTCAGGCTCGCTGACTTGGTTGATGCATATTATCTATCCCAACTGAGTTGGTCGCTGAAACTCTTTTGGATTGTCGGTTCATGTGGGCAAGAAACAGAATGAGTCAGTTGTTATATAAAGGTGTGTTCCGAGAAATACATACTTGTCTTAAGGATATCGGCTTATCTGTGTTAAGGGTAGTAACGCGTTCCATGATTCGCATTTCTAAGATCTTTGTTACTTAATTTAACTGTCCAAATATAAGGAGAAGGGAGGTAGTGTGCATTTTAAAAGTTTTTGCATAAAATTATAATTAAACGAGGGCTGGTCAAAAGTTTTAAGTCTGACTAATTTTCAACCATGTTTTCATTAAAAAGTGAACTAGTAAATATAGTACATTGAGTAGTTCATTGCAAGTGTATTTGGTCTTTCGAGGCCGTTTGTATATTAGTGACAGCCAGTTGAACGTGATACGGTCCAAATGGACACAGAAATTGAACGTACGACTATCGAGCAGACTTTAAGTTATTGACTTCAGAGAAAGGTACTCCCAAGGAAATTCATGACCGCATGTCACAGGTGTATGGGGATAAGTGCCCTAGCTATTTCACCGTTAAACGTTGGGCAGCTATGTTTATGGCTGGGAGAACAAGCCTTGATGATGGCCCTAGGCCTGGACGTCCCTCAACTTCCATCAATGAAGTTTCAATCAAGGATATGGAAAAACTTAAACTGTCAGATAGACGTTTTTCCGGGTGGCTTCAGAAAACTTCTTTCTGACTGGAATTGAAAAGTTTCACTATCGATATGAGAAGTGTATTGAAAAGCAGGGAGATGAAGTTGGGTATATATTCTCACAGTTGTTGGTTTTGTTTGTTAGACTTAGAACCTTTTGACCAGCCCTCGTAGTTTCGATATTTTATAGGGGGCACGGCTGGCCCAGTCGTCTAAGGCGCAGCGATTCGCTGTGCAGAGTTGCGTCCCTTGAACACGCCAGAAAGCTATGATTGTGAGTTCGAATCCCGGTTCGCCCCGATTATGTTTCTAGGTTTGTCAGCACCATACCCGTGCTCGTGGGTTTCACCGAAGTGGTAAACGCCTGAGACCTGCATCACTTCGGGCTTTCCTCCCACATTAAGCTGACACGTCGTGATATAACTGGAATATTGTTAAAGGCGGCGTTAAACCCATCTCACTCACTCGATATTTTATAATATTGTAACAACATATCCGAAAACATCATACTTATAGTATTTATGTTATTGTGCACATTTGTGAGCATATGGAAACAAACGCAAGCATTTACGTATTTCCTTCAGTTTTTAATGTGCTGTGCATTCCACTGATATATAACACCATATTGTGCTAGGTTACAACGTTATGACGTCACAGTTGAAGGAATGTCGAGGTACTACTCTCATTACCCTTTGCTGAAAGCAAGACGCGACCTCTCGTAAAATGGGACCTTTTTCATGTTCTGTACATACGACCCTAGCTTTGAAGATTTGACATGTAGCCTACATTCTGGCTTCACTGTTTCGTATTCATAATGGCGATAGATTATAATATATGGGACTTCGTGTAGAAAGGCTTTGTGACTGTGATTATGTACAGGTTTTGACATTGCTGTCATATTGCTAACTGTGACCTAACACGGCTTTCCGAAATAATTCTGAAATAAATAGAGTCAGTGTATGTGTTCGCGTGGGTTCGTGCGTCTCTGTATATTTCAGAATAAAAGCTGTTTTAACACACACACCCCACCCCACCCCATATATACACTCTTCAAAAGAAAGAAACGCAAAGGTAGATGTTTAGTAGTTGTATTGTACCTAATAAAGTCGATATATATTATTTAATATCATAGATCCAAATATGAAATTTTTGAGCTCGATTGTCACATGTTGTCATTGTCCAAAGGCATTGCCCCGGGCCGCACTAAAGGCTTTACATCTATTCGGCACTGACTGGATAAGTGTACGAATTCTGACCTGCGGGATTCTTTGCCATTCTGCTCGTAACGCGTTGGCCAGTTGTGGAAGTGTCTGCTGCGTCTTCTGATGTTGACGTACATGTGGATCGAGTTCATCCCAGGGGTGTTCGATTGGGTTGAGGCCTGGAGATCTCGACTGCCAGGGCAAGTCGTTGTTGTTGGCATTATGAAGGTAGCCTACCGTGACACGAGCTGTGTGCGGTGGAGCGTTGTCCTGTTGAAACAGCTCCCTCTGGCGGTCAATGATTGGAAGAAAGTGAGGTTGAAGAATTTGATTCATGTAGCGATTTGCTGTCAAATTTCCCTGAACCACAACCAAGTCAGATCTCGTGGAGTAGGATATGGCCCCCACACCATGACACTACCGCCACCGAATTTGTCGAATTCACGTACACAGTGTGGGGCAAAACGCTCATTTCGACGACGATAAACACGTTGTCTTCCATATCGCCGGTGAAGAAGAAATCGTGATTCATCGCTAAACCACACTCGTCTCCAGTTTCTCAAATTCCAAGGATGTAAGGTATGGCACCAACGCAAGCATCGCTGTCGATGGATCTGTTGCAAAACAGGGACGATAACTGGTCTTCTGGGTCGTATATTCCAGCCTCGCGACAGTCTGGTCCGATATCCTCCTCAAGCCAGGGATGAGTCCTGCAGTCTCTGTAGCTGTGGCATTGTGATGCCGTAGATGGAACAGTCGAATGTAGCGACCCTGTGCAGGGGTGGTAACTCTTGGTCGGTCGGTTCTCGGACGGTCTGCAGTGGATTTGAACTGTGTGTATCGGTCATAAAGGCGGCAAATGGTGCTGTGGTGGACGTTGAAGTGGCGTGCAACAGAAGACTGCGATTCCCCTCTTAGGATACGTCCTATGGCGACGTTCCGATCGGCAGCGCTTTGTCTGGGCACTTTCGAACTGGAAAAATGTTGACAATTGAATGACAAATTATTGGCTTATGCTTGCCTTTTTATAGCCACTACCACGAGTTACGAATGCCATAACTTGCACGTGAATTTTGCTTTACTGTTTTCCTCCATGGCAAGTGTGAAAACAATGCCATTTAAGACATTGCAAATCGACAATGGACGCACCGTTTGTCGAATATCAGGCCACCAACATTTTCCAATAACATATATCCAATTTATATACCGGATTTGTTTTGTGTACTACGTGTGCGTTTCTTTTTTTGAAGAGTGTATTTCTTCCGACCCTCTGGGTTTGGGTAAAGATATACAAGATATACATACATATATATAAGACATACATACATACATACATACATACATACATACATACATACATACATACATACATACATACATACATACATACATACATACATACATACATACATACATACATACATACATACATACATACATACATAGACCGCCTCCGTGCCGCAGTTTAACGTGGATAGCCAACTTAGTGGATAGACACATTATATTGACTTAGAACCCACCAGTCCTTGTTGTATCCTCTTAATGCCGAGACCGCCTCCGTGGTCTAGTGGTGGAGTGTCCGCCCGGAGAGCGGAAGGTCCGGGGTTCGATCCCCGGCCGCGTCATACCAAAAGACGTTAAAAGACGGTACTTGTTGTTACCCTGTCTGGCGCTCGGCATTAAGGGGCTAAAACAAGGACTGGTCGGCTCGGAATCAGTATACTGTGTCTGAGTGGGGTATTCATGTTAAACTGCGGCATTGTATCTCAGTGAACTAGCACTATAAATCGGCATCAGTCCGGACTAGTACAAGCAGCCACACACACACACTCACACGTACATGCACGTCGCTATATAAGTGCAATAATCTTGGATGCGACGTTAAACCCCATTTTACCTCACCTCACCTCACCAGATATCGCGAGTGAAAATAGCACAAACCGTAGGCACGTGGCTTTAAAGGCACCGTTTGACCCCGGAAGTAAGTCTGATAAATCCACAAAGCGTGCCCGGCCTTTTGATTGCCATGCGCCAGTTTTAACTGACAGCCGGGATCGGTCTATTCATAAAGTGACATATTCTTATAGCAAGTAGTATTTTATTTTGAACTTTGGGCGAACTGTGTCCACGGGTAGATCTATTTGCATCCAACACAACAAGATCTACTGCTTGCCTCAAGGACATCGTCTTGTTTAAACTAGAACTTCAACAAAACGTGTGCCCAAAGCTTAATATGTTATCAAAGACCAGAACACAGCATCCACCTATAGTAACATCAGTAACAGAGTGAGTGAGTGAGTGAGCTGGGTTTAACGCCGATTTTAACAGTATTCCAGTTATATCACGACGTGTCAGCTTAATGTGGTAGGAAAGCCCGAATTGATGCAGGTCTCAGACGTTTACCACTTCGGTGAAACCCACGAGCACGAGTATGGTGCTGACAAACCTAGAAACCTAATCGGGGCGACCCGGGATTCGAACCCACAATCATAGGTTTCTGGCGTGCCCAGGGGACGCAACTCTGCACAGCGAATCGCGGCGCCCTAGACGACTGAGCCACCCGTGCCCCCCACATTCAGTAACAGAACTGGTGATCATGCGTCCCTAGTGGAGTACCTAATCCCATGTGGCCTCAGACCACAGTTATCCCCCCTAAGTTTTACCAGGAACCGGAAGGAAAATAGGAGAATATAGTGCCCTGTTTAAATGGGCTGTTCAGCCTGTGGCAATTTTTTTGGAGTGACTTGTGATAGCTTATATGAAAGATAAGACATTGTAGTTTGATGTCAATTTTTTGTTAGCCCCAATCTGTGAAGGTATTGATTCCAGCTTCCCATGATTTGACCCCAAGTTGAAGGCCGCTGTGTGTGTTTCGGCTCGGAAGTAGAAACTTCCGGTGAGCATTGTTGACATTGGTTACTGCGAAAGCAAGCTGGTGGATTCTGGCCGAAACTTTGTGTTTTAAGTGACAAGGGGCAGGTTGGTCAGCATGCAACAGGAGAACGGCCTACGACTGATAATAATTATGGTGGGCTGTCGTGTCACTGTAGATAACAAAGAAGGACATATTTGTGGTCTGAGGCCATGTGTGCCACTCGTAGATAACTGGAACCACTCGCCTACCCAGAGTTCCTTGCGATCGGAAGCCCTGTCGTAACCTCCGCCACAGGCCAGCGCCATGTGACGAGTCGTCACATCTCACACAGTCCATTCAAGATACTGCATTTGCTTTTCATCCGTTTCATTTTTGACGAGTCAACACATTTTGGTAAACATACGTCATAGATTAGATAACTTTCATGAGGAAAATATCTTAAAACGTGGAAAACTATTTTCATTTGCGTAGTTATCCTATGTTTACATTGGTTGTTCGGCTCCACCTGCTGTCATCGAAGCCCTCCGGAGGTCACTTTGATTGTATAGAGATATATTATGATGCACCTCACTGTCGCATATCTATATAATCTTGCAAAATGATGTGTAAATCGCACCAGAAGGCTTGCATTTGACCTGTCTGGTCGGCTCGGAGTCAGTATACTGTGTCTGAGTGGGGTATTCATGTTAAACTGCGGCATGGTATCTCAGTCAGCTAGCACTATAAATCGGCATCAGTCGCATCAGTGCATGCACGTCGCTATATAAGTGCAATAATCTTGGACGCGACGTTAAACCCAATTTCACCTCACCTCACCTCATTATTCCAGCAATATCACGGCTGGGGACACCAGTAATGGGCTTCGTACATTGTACCCATGTCGGGAATCGAACCCGGGTCTTCGGAGTGACGAGCGAACGCTTTAACCGCTAAACTACCTGACCACCCCTTACGCCTAAGTTTACACCCGATTATATTCATAGGGATCCGAGGTCTGATGATAAGCATATGAGATTGCCAATATGACAAGAACCTCGGGAACAAAAGTAGATTACCTCTTCCCGAGCCAGGTATATTTAATGGCTACCCTAGCGTCTTCTCCACGGGTGACTGCGTTTGAAACTGTGACTGAAATTCGTGAAATTCAGTTTCTTGAGAAACTTCATTACCTAAAGGGGGGCACGGATAGCCCAGTCGTCTAAGTCGCCGCAATTAGCTGTACAGAGTTGTGTCCCTTGGGCATGCCAGAAACCTATGATTGTGGGAACGAATCCCGGTTCGCCCCGATTATTTTTCTAGGTTTGTCAGCACCGTCAGTCCGGACTGATGCCGATTTATAGTGCTAGCACACTGAGATACCATGCCGCAGTTTAACATGAATACCTCACTCAGACAGTATACTGACTTCGAGCCGACCAATCCTTGTTTTACCCCCTTAATGCCGAGCGCCAGGCAGGGTAACAACAAGTGTCATATTTTAACGTCTTATGGTATGACGCGGCCGGGGATCGAACCCCGGACCTTCAGCTCTCCGGGCAGACGCTCTACCCCTAGACCACGGAGACGGTTTTAAACGTCTAAGATCTGCATCACTTCGGGCTTTCCTCCCATCTTTAGCTCCCACAATGACTGGAATACTGTTAAAAGCCCACTCACTCACTCACTCAACCACACACTCACTCATATTCCAACAACATCCCTGCGTTTGCGCGAGTGAGTGAGTGAGTGAGTGAGTGAGGTTTAACGCCGCACTCAGCAATCTTCTAGCTATATGACGGCGGTTCATTTACATAGAGTAATTTGGATAAAGGTATGTCTGTCGAAAGCAGAATATGGCATGTATTAATATCTTTTAACTGTTTCCAAAAACTTAATGTTACTAATTATTTTTACCACGTGTAGATATTGCCTTGAAATTCTTCACATACCATTTAATATTAATTTGACAGTTGTCTTCACTATCGAAGGTGTGATGGCAGTCACATTATTCCTGGTATTCAATGATGAGACTCAACATATAGATACATAATTATGAAACTTGAGCAAATATCGCTCTATTCGTTCGCGTCTATATTTCCGAAATACGGTACTAATTAATTCCCATTTACAGTAGACGTGATCATGTGTAGCAATGGAATAGAACTGATTGACATATTACTTGATATTAATTTAACAGTTGTATTCAATACGAACCTTGATATGGCAGTCACATAATTACGGGTGTTGAAAGATAGAGGCTCAACATGAAACATACATGTTTATGAAACTATAAGAGCAAATATAACTACAGTAAACTACGGTTATAACGAACTCAAAGGGACCACTAATTTTAGTTCGTTATAACCGTAGTTCATTATAAGCATATATACAGCATAACGACAGCAAATAGTCGGGACAAAAAAGTAGGTTCGTTATATCCGTCAGTTCGTTATAAGCGTGTTCGTTATAAACGTAGTTAACTGTATATTCGTTGGTGTCCTTATGTCCAAAATATTTACACGTGAATTATGATATTGAACAACCTACACACGTGTACGCCAACATTAGACTTCGCAATGTTCTGTTATTACCTCGTTGAGATTTTTGCCTAAAATAATTTAAATTAGACTCGTAGTAGGAGGTAAGCATCGAGTGGTCAGGCTCGGCAACTTGTTTGTGTGAGTGAGTGAGTGAGGTTTTACGCCGCTTGTAGCAATATTCCAGGAACTTCCCGAGGTTTGCGTGAGTGAGTGAGTGAAGTTTTACGCCGCTTGTAGCAATATTCCAGCAACATCCGGGCGTTTGCGTGAGTGGGTGAGGTTTTACGCCGCTTGTAGAAATATTCCAGCAACATCCAGGCTTTTGCGTGAGTGAGGTTTTACGCCGCTTGTAACAATATTCCAGCAACATCCCCCTGTTTGCGTGAGTGAGTGAGGTTTTACGCCGCTTTTAGCAATATTCAAGCAACATCCCGGCGTTTGCGTGAGTGAGTGAGTGAGGTTTTACGCCGCTTGTAGCAATATTCCAGCAACATCCCGGCGTTTGCGTGAGTGAGTGAGGTTTTACGCCGCAGACTTCGCAATGTTCTGTTATTACCTCGTTGAGATTTTTGCCTAAAATAATTTAAATTAGACTCGTAGTAGGAGGTATGCATCGAGTGGTCAGGCTCGGCAACTTGTTTGTGTGAGTGAGTGAGTGAGTGAGTGAGGTTTTACGCCGCTTGTAGCAATATTCCAGCAACATCCCGGCGTTTGCGTGAGTGAGTGAGGTGTTACGCCGCTTGTAGCAATATTCCAGCAACATCCCGGCGTTTGCGTGAGTGAGTGAGTGAGTGAGGTTTTACGCCGCTTGGAGCAATATTCTAGCAACATCCCGGCGTTTGCGTGAGTGAGTGAGTGAGGTTTTACGCCGCTTGCTTGTAGCAATATTCTAGCAACATCCCGGCGTTTGCGTGAGTGAGTGAGGTTTTACGCCGCTTGCTTGTAGCAATATTCCAGCAACATCCCGGCGTTTGCGTGAGTGAGTGAGTGAGGTTTTACGCCGCTTGCTTGTAGCAATATTCTAGCAACATCCCGGCTGGAACACCAGAAATAGGCTTCTCACAATGTTCCCGGGTCTTCGGACAGACAGACAGACAGACAGATCAGATGGTAACTATATCTCTGCATAATATCATAATATCACATGTATCACGTCGGAAGGGAGTGGTAAAAGGCGGCTAACGGGATCGGGTGGTCAGGCTCGCTGATGCATGTTGATCGTTGATGCATGTCATCGTACCCAAATTGCGATGCTCATGATTTCAATCACTGGGTTGTCTGGTCCAGACTCGATTATTTCCAGACCGCCGTTATATAGCTGGAATATTGCTGAGTGCGGCGTTAAACTACAAACAAACAAACAAACAAACGGAGTGGAGTGGAATGAATACTTGTATGCAATATGCTCAACTGACTTGCTTTCGCTGCTGTTTTGCCTTTTGCGCAATGGAATCTGCTTCGGCGGACAATCGAGACTGATTTTATTAAGGAGTTGGCACTCCAAGTCTATAACCTTTTGGCTTCCGGTTGAGAAAGTCTATCCGTGCCCTAAGTGACGACTTCACTGTTGGTGTCGTAAATTTCCAACGCCGTAGATCCTTGCTCAGAATATCAATTACTGGATTGTTTAGTACAGCCCGCTTGTAGCCACATTGCTGTGATTTTGCTGACAAATCATACTATACATGGGCATGTTTAACATAGTATTCCTTCACACAGATCAAATTACTGCTTACAAGGCACGTTTCTACCAGATTTGCTATCGTGAACTAAATAGACATTAAAGCAAAATTTCATAATATCTGTTGTAATTATATTTCGATTTTCGAAAATATTATAGCTAAGGTTTGGTGTTAATTAATTATACATATATGTGTAACAGCTGAAATGTCAATTTGACAAGTTGATCATTTGAGCGATTAAAACGGAATGGATGTAAATGAGTTTCTAGCTGACTTTTAGGTGTTAGCCGGGAACAACTTGCAGATTCAGTTAACCAAAGGATAAGACGGACGTGAAAATGGCTTTACTGATCTGTATTGTGTTGACACTTTCAATTGAAATGGGTTACATATGTGAGGGACATATAGTTGCTAGCAAGTTAAAACTTTTTATCGACAATGAATTCATTTCAACTCGCACCTGGTGGGAAATAAACCGGATCACCAAAATGCATTGTTTCACCACGTGCGTTAATGATTTACGATGTCTGTTTGTCAAGATATCTCCAAAACACTGCTGGGTGTCAAATTTAGGGGACACATTAAACACCACCACCGTTGATGAAGTTGCTGAGACAGGACGTATCTACAGCGTGGTTCGAGGTGAGTATGAGGATGGGGATACCTGTCAGTAATACCTTGTTATCCGTTATCCAAGTACTGGGGCGGGGACATAGGAATGGGGTCCGTCCGTCCATCCGACCGTCCGCTTCTCAATGGGTATTTTCACACACTGATGTTACTGGTCACAATTGCAAAAGAGTTCGAAATTTGGCGTCCTAAATTCATTTTTACAGAATTATGACCCTTGTTCAATGCCTTTCAACTTAGAGCATACTGCGTTTTCTCAAGAACTGCTAAAGTTGCATGAATGAAAGTTTGGATGCTTAAGAAGATATTTGTCATGGCTGAGTTCGAAAATTGGTGCTGTAAAACTTTTTCCAGAATTGCGTCCCTTGCAACGTGTTTTCAGATTTTGTGCATCTTGTCTTCAATGTGGACAAGTTTCCAGAGAAACTACATGGAACTTTGCATTGTGGTAATTAGGGCTGGGACGAGTCCAAATTTACTACCCGGGTAGCCGACCCCCTATTGCCCGACCCTACCCAGGTACCCCCTGCAAGTTTCAAGAGTTGGGAACAAAATGTCTGATTGGTAATTGTTTTATCGCAGCCCTGACTAAAACTATTTAGATACAGAAACCTAATCAGGACCCAACGACCCGAGTTACCCGTCCCAGCCCGAGTTATAATGCTATTGCCCTTGATCCATATTATTTTACTGTGCACAGTGTCTTCAATGTTGGGGGCGGTCGAATAGCCCAGCGGTTAAAGCGTTCGCTCGACTCGCCGAAGACCCGGGTTCGATTCCCGATATGGGTACAATGTGTGAAGCCCATTTCCGATGTCCCCCGCCGTGATATTGCTGGAATATTGCTAAAAGCGGCGAAAAACCATACTCACTCACTCTCTCTTCAATGTGGTCAAGATTCCTGAGAAACTACATGGAACTTTGCATTGTTATAATGTTATTGCCCTTAATCCATACTATTTTACTTCGTGCATAGTGTCTTCTATGTGGACATGTTAATCCCCCCCCCTAACAACCATAGGATCCATCCATCCATCCATCCATCCGTCCGTCCGTCCGTCCGTCCGTCCATCCATCCTTCCATATATCCATCCATCCATTTTTCCATCATCCATCATCCATCCATCCGTCCGCCCGTCCATCCATCCATCCGCCCATCCTTCCGTCCGTCCGTCCGTCCGTCCATCCATCCATTCGTTCATCCATCCATTCATCCATCCATCCATCCATTCAAACCATCCATTTAATCTACGTTTTTTTACCCCAAGCCTCGTCAGTTTTTACTGTATACTGGAGACATATTTATATGACATAATTATTTTCTGTTTTCTCACGCTTGTCAAATTACAGAAGATGTGAAAGAGGAGCTGCTAGTGGATACAGCAATAGAAGACATGAATCAGGATGACACTGGACTAACAGAAATATCTAACGAAAGTAACGTGATGGTAACGGCCAAGTACACTACCCTATCAGTTACCGCTGCCGATGCTTTAGTCCCATCAGTTACAAGTGGCAGCGTTTTTACCGCCTCAGTTACAACTACCCAGGCTTCTACAACATCGGTTACAACAACACCGGCTTCTACAACATCGGTTACAACTACACCGGCTTCTACAACACCGGTTACAACTACACCGGCTTCTACAACATCGGTTACAACTACACAGGCTTCTACAACATCGGTTACAACAACACCGGCTTCTACAACATCGGTTACAACTACACCGGCTTCTACAACACCGGTTACAACTACACCGGCTTCTACAACATCGGTTACAACTACACAGGCTTCTACAACATCGGTTACAACTACACAGGCTTCTACAACACCGGTTACAACTACACCAGCTTCTACAACATCGGTTACAACTACACAGGCTTCTACAACATCGGTTACAACTACACCGGCTTCTACAACATCGGTTACAACTACACCGGCTTCAACACCATCGGTTACAACTACACCGACTTCTACAACATCGGTTACAACTACACCGGCTTCTACAACACCGGTTACAACTACACCGACTTCTACAACATCGGTTACAACTACACCGACTTCTACAACACCGGTTACAACTACCCAGGCTTCTACAACATCGGTTACATCTACCCAGGCTTCTACAACACCGGTTACAACTACACCAGCTTCTACAACACCGGTTACAACTACACCGACTTCTACAACACCGGTTACAACTACACCGGCTTCTACAACACCGGTTACAACTACACCGACTTCTACAACACCGGTTACAACTACACCGACTTCTACAACACCGGTTACAACTACCCAGGCTTCTACAACACCGGTTACAACTACACCGACTTCTACAACATCGGTTACAACTACACCGGCTTCTACAACATCGGTTACAACTACACAGGCTTCTACAACACCGGTTACAACTACACCGACTTCTACAACACCGGTTACAACTACACCGGCTTCTACAACATCGGTTACAACTACACCGGCTTCTACAACATCGGTTACAACTACACAGGCTTCTACAACATCGGTTACAACTACACAGGCTTCTACAACATCGGTTACAACTACACAGGCTTCTACAACACCGGTTACAACTACACCGACTTCTACAACACCGGTTACAACTACACCGGCTTCTACAACATCGGTTACAACTACACCGGCTTCTACAACATCGGTTACAACTACACAGGCTTCTACAACATCGGTTACAACTACACCGGCTTCTACAACACCGGTTACAACTACACCGACTTCTACAACATCGGTTACAACTACACAGGCTTCTACAACACCGGTTACAACTACACCGACTTCTACAACATCGGTTACAACTACACAGGCTTCTACAACATCGGTTACAACTACACAGGCTTCTACAACACCGGTTACAACTACACCGACTTCTACAACATCGGTTACAACTACACAGGCTTCTACAACATCGGTTACAACTACACAGGCTTCTACAACACCGGTTACAACTACACCGACTTCTACAACATCGGTTACAACTACACCGACTTCTACAACACCGGTTACAACTACCCAGGCTTCTACAACATCGGTTACATCTACCCAGGCTTCTACAACACCGGTTACAACTACACCGACTTCTACAACATCGGTTACAACTACACAGGCTTCTACAACATCGGTTACAATTACACAGGCTTCTACAACACCGGTTACAACTACACCGACTTCTACAACACCGGTTACAACTACCCAGGCTTCTACAACATCGGTTACATCTACCCAGGCTTCTACAACACCGGTTACATCTACCCAGGCTTCTACAACATCGGTTACAACTACACAGGCTTCTACAACATCGGTTACAACTACACCGGCTTCTACAACACCGGTTACAACTACACCGACTTCTACAACATCGGTTACAACTACACAGGCTTCTACAACACCGGTTACAACTACACCGACTTCTACAACATCGGTTACAACTACACAGGCTTCTACAACATCGGTTACAACTACACAGGCTTCTACAACACCGGTTACAACTACACCGACTTCTACAACATCGGTTACAACTACACAGGCTTCTACAACATCGGTTACAACTACACAGGCTTCTACAACACCGGTTACAACTACACCGACTTCTACAACATCGGTTACAACTACACCGACTTCTACAACACCGGTTACAACTACCCAGGCTTCTACAACATCGGTTACATCTACCCAGGCTTCTACAACACCGGTTACAACTACACCGACTTCTACAACATCGGTTACAACTACACAGGCTTCTACAACATCGGTTACAATTACACAGGCTTCTACAACACCGGTTACAACTACACCGACTTCTACAACATCGGTTACAACTACACCGACTTCTACAACACCGGTTACAACTACCCAGGCTTCTACAACATCGGTTACATCTACCCAGGCTTCTACAACACCGGTTACAACTACACAGGCTTCTACAACACCGGTTACAACTACACCGACTTCTACAACACCGGTTACATCTACACCGGCTTCTACAACACCGGTTACAACTACACAGGCTTCTACAACACCGGTTACAACTACACCGACTTCTACAACACCGGTTACAACTACACAGGCTTCTACAACATCGGTTACAACTACACCGGCTTCTACAACATCGGTTACAACTATACCGGCTTCTACAACACCGGTTACAACTATACCGGCTTCTACAACATCGGTTACAACTACCGAGGGTCATTCGGCATCAGTTACCATTCCATTACCGATGCTCGTCTCAGAGGATGGACAGGCAACTCTCCTATCCCATAGTCAAGTCGGTACCACACCAGTGCCTCTGATAACATCACCTTGGCTTCTGTTTACTAGGACCGCAACGCATCCTACCAAGGCATCACATACAGCTTCAGAACCCCGTCAAGCATCAGATTCTACCGTAAGGACCTCTACGGCAAGAGTCACAAATACCAAAACCGTCACTGAATCTAATATACCACATACACAAATTAACACTGCAAATAATTCTACTACATCTATTACAACTACAAAGGCTTCTCCCACTACAGATACTACTGTCAACGCTTCCACCACACCAGTTACTGCTGCCAAGGATTCAACAACATTTGTTGCAACTGCCAAGGATTCTACTGCTTCAGTTACAGCAACTAGGGGTTCAACTGTATTAGTTGCAACTGCCAAAGATTATATGGCATCAGTTTCAGCCACCAAGGATTATAACGCATCAGATACAACTGCCAAGGATTCAACATCATCAGCTACCCCTGCCAAAGATTCTGCCGCATCAGTTTCAGCTACCAAGGATTATAACGCATCAGATACAACTGCCAAGGATTCAACATCATCAGCTACCTCTGCCAAAGAATCTAACGCATCAGTTTCAGCTACCAAGGATTCTAACGCATCAGATACAACTGCCAGGGATTCAACTGCATCAGCTACCTCTGCCAAAGATTCTGCCGCATCAGTTTCAGCTACCAAGGATTCTAACGCATCAGATACAACTGCCAAGGATTCAACATCACCAGCTACCTCTGCCAAAGATTCTGCCGAAACAGTTTCAGCTACCAAGGATTCTAACGCATCAGATACAACTGCCAAGGATTCAACATCATCAGCTACCCCTGCCAAAGAATCTAACGCATCAGTTTCAGCTACCAAGGATTCTAATGCATCAGCTACCTCTGCCAAGGGTTCTAACGCATCAGATACAACTGCCAGGGATTCAACAGCATCAGCTACCTCTGCCAAAGATTCTGCCGCATCAGTTTCACCTACCAAGGATTCTAACGCATCAGATACAACTGCCAAGGATTCAACGTCACCAGCTACCTCTGCCAAAGATTCTGCCGAAACAGTTTCAGCTACCAAGGATTCTAACGCATCAGATACAACTGCCAAGGATTCAACATCATCAGCTACCCCTGCCAAAGATTCTGCCGCATCAGTTTCAGCTACCAAGGATTCTAACGCATCAGATACAACTGCCAAGGATTCAACATCACCAGCTACATCTGCCAAAGATTCTGCCGCATCAGTTTCAGCTACCAAGGATTCTAACGCATCAGCTAACTCTGCCAAAGAATCTAACGAATCAGTTTCTGCTACCGAAGATTCTATCGCATCAGTTTCAGCTACCAAGGATTCTACTGCATCAGCTACCTTTGCCAAGGATTCTACTGCATCAGCTAACCCTGCCAAAGATTCTACAGTATCAGTTTCAGCTGCCAAGTATTCTACCGCATCAGTTTCAGCTGCCAAGGATTCTACTGCATCAGTTTCAGCTGCCAGGGATTCAACATCACCAGCTACCTCTGCCAAAGATTCTACCGCATCAGTTACAACTGCAAAAGATTCTATCCCATCAGTTTCAGCTACCAAGGATTCAACATCACCAGCTACCTCTGCCAAAGATTCTACCGCAACAGTTACAACTGCAAAAGATTCTATCCCATCAGCTACCCCTGCCAAAGATTCTACAGTATCAGTTTCAGCTGCCAAGTATTCTACCGCATCAATTTCAGCTGCCAGGGATTCAACATCACCAGCTACCTCTGCCAAATATTCTACCGCATCAGTTACAAATGCAAAAGATTCTATCCCATCAGTTTCAGCTACCAAGGATTCAACATCATCTGCTACCTCTGCCAAAAATTCTACAGCATCAGTTTCAGCTGCCAAGTATTCAACATCATCAGCTACCTCTGCCAAAGAGTCTAACGCATCAGTTTCAGCTACCAAATATTTTAACGCATCATTAACGCATTCAACTGCCAAGGATTCAATAGCATCAGCTACTGCCAATGATTCTACCGCATCAGTTACAACCACAACACCAGCAACAGAGACAGCAGCAGCTCTACCACTACCCCACACCACAACACCATCAACAGAGACAGCAACTGTGTCATTTCACCACACCACAACACCATCAACACCGACAGCAGCAGCTCTACCACTTCGCAAAACCACAACACCAGCAACACCGACAGCAGCAGCTCTGCCACTTCACCACACCACAACACCAGCAACAAAGACATCGATTCAACCACGTCGCCACACCACAACACTATCATCAGGGACAGCAACTGTGCCACTTCGCCACACCACAACACCAGCAACACCGACAGCAGCAGCTCTACCACTTCGCAAAACCACAACACCAGCAACAGAGACAGCAGCAGCTCTACCACGTCGCCAAATCACAACACCATCAACACCGACAGCAGCAGCTCTACCACTTCGCCACACCACAACACCAGCAAAACCGACGACACGACCAACTACCAATATGAGCACTGAGACGTTTGTGGTTGACTCAGGTGAGTACTGAACTGTTGTATACTAACGGAATTAGTAACTATGCTTTATAACGAGTGGTGTAAATGTGAAATTATTGAAAATAACACCATGATTCTTGGTCATTCGCCTGTTCAATGTTTAATCATAAGGGGACACGGGTTGCCCAGTCGTCTAAGGCGCCGCGATTCGCTGTGCAGAGTTGCGTCCCTTGGGCACGCCAGAAACCTATGATTGTTGGTTCGAACCACAGTCGTAGGCCGTTCTCCTGTTGCATGCTGACCAACATGCCACTTGCCACTTAAAACGCAAAGTTTCGGCCAGCATTCACCAGCTTGCTTTCGCAGTAACCACTGTCAACAATGCTCACCGGAAGTTTCTACTTCCGAGCCGAAACACACACAGCGGCCTTCAACTTGGGGTCAAATCATGGGAAGCTGGAATCAATACCTTCACAGATTGGGGCTAACAAAAACTTGACAGCAAACTACAATGTCTTATCTTTCATTTAAGCTATCACAAGTCACTCCAAAAAAATTGCCACAGGCTGAACAGCCAATTTAAACAGGACACTATATTCTCCTATTTTCCTTCCGGTTCCTGGTAAAACTTAGGGGGGATAACTGTGGTCTGAGGCCACATGGGATTAGGTACTCCACTAGGGACGCATGATCACCAGTTCTGTTACTGAATGTGGGGGGCACGGGTGGCCCAGTCGTCTAAGGCGCCGCGATTCGCTGTGCAGAGTTGCGTCCCTTGGGCACGCCAGAAACCTATGATTGTGGGTTCGAATCCCGGGTCGCCCCGATTATGTTTCTAGGTTTGTCAGCACCATACCCGTGCTGGTGGGTTTCACCGAAGTGGTAAACGTCTGAGACCTGCATCACTTCGGGCTTTCCTCCCACATTAATCTGACACGCCGCGATATAACTGGAATACTGTTAAAAGCGGCGTTAAACCCAACTCACTCACTCACTCTCATTCTTGCAGATGATGAGTTTGTCCAGTGCAAGTACCGAGTTCTAACCCAAACTGGCACAGAGCAGGGCAGCGATACCAACTGTTTTGTTTATCTCCGTATACATGGCGAATACGACACAATTCGGATTTATCTTAACAACCCTGAGGAAGAAATGGAACTAGGAAGTAACGACACGTTCCTGGTGAGTACGATTTTTATGTTTGCTTGTTTGTGTAACGTCTAAGCCGGCAATAGTCTAGCTATATCGTGGAGGTCTGCAGATACTCGACCACGGACCAGGCACACCTGTAAGTGAAAACAGGAGCAACGATCGTGCAATTAGAAAACGATGGCAGATCCTGACTCCCGGTTGGTTGGTTGGTTGGTTGGTTTGTTGTTTATCGCCGCACTCAGCAATATTCCAGCTATATGACCGCGGTCTGTAAATAATCGAGTCTGGACCAGACAATCCAGTGATTAATATCATGAGCATCGATCCACGCAATTGGGATCGATGACATGCATCAACCAAGTCAGCGAGCCTGACCACCCGATCCCTTCAGTCGCCTTTTACGACAAGCATAGTCACCTTTTAAGGCAAGCATGGGTTGCTGAAGACCTATTCTACTCCGGAATCTTCACGGGTCCCTGACTCCCGGATCGAATTTAATCGCGGATCCAATTTAATCGCCTCATACGAGAATACATGAAGCGCTGAGGACCTTTTCTAAACCAGGTCATTGTACTATAGGGACAGTAATTTATTTACTGAGTCACGTAAAATGAATATCGGGGCCAATTATGAATTTCCAATAATCCTTGAATTATCCACGAAAAACATATATTTCATCTTCAATAAAAAAATATGTTTCTTCACGAGGGAATCAAGTTATCAAAGTTACTTCATCAAAATTTAGCTAATATTACTTGGTAAAGAAAGATCACCTTTATATATAGAAGTGACTTATAGCTTTATTTACAATAAGAATGCGGTAGACTGTCAACGGATCCATACCATGTTTGTCTTAGATTGTCTAAAAGACAAATCTTAAACTGTCGCATAAATAACTTATTGTCACCAACTTCTTGACAGAGCCACCCCTACTCAAAACCTTTACAAAAAACGGGAAGTGAATATCCTAGATATAAGTAACACCTTTTGTTCGACCTGATTCATGATTTTAACATGAATGAGTGAGTGAGTATGGTTTTACGCCGTTTTTAGCAATATTCCAGCAATATCACACATTGTACCCATTTCGGGAATCGAACCCGGGCGAACGCTTTAACCACTAGGCTACCCGACCGCCCCAATTGTAACATGAGATAGCACCGGCGAGGTAAGGTGAATGAATCTAGATGAATTAATCATCACCAATATTTAACCACCCTTGACTTATAAGTAAACTACAATGGTAATTTCCCACATTCACCAAGAGCAATATTCTTGTTTACATTTTCAACAACTCTTAACTACCGTTTACATATTTTGGTTCAGAAATGTTCTATTTTTTGACAGTAAGAAATTATCCAGACTCCACATTTATAGCAATGAATTAAAGAATATTTGCACCAAATATCTTAAGGAGATAAGCACTTTAAATACCACCAAATCTTCTGTGAGAGGCAAATAGACATAACAGTTTTATTTATCTGTGAGGTTAAACAATCTTGAACCTTGGTCTAAGAGAGCGAAGAAGTGAACACAACGCCTGACTACCTATAGAAATAAACAGCTGACACCTGTTTATAATCATAATACTATTTTTCATAATTTCTTAAAGGATTATCGTAAATGATGTCTAAACACAATTATTTTAGTTTTAGTTAGATTAACTCTCATACTAGTTCTAGATCTACACTCTTCAAAAAAAGAAACGCACAGGTAGTATGAAGTTCATTGAACCTGAATACACAAAAAAATCCGGTATATAAACGAGTTCAGCGCAACCTTGTGGCCTTATGTGACATGACAATGAACAGTTTTCAATGCCTTACAACAACAACAACATGTGACTATCGAGCTCCAATTTTTTTTATATTTGTATCTATGCTATTAAATTAAATATATCGACTTTATTAGGTATTTACCTGCGTTTGCCTTGATCACAAAGCCGAAGAAAGTTTACATCCAAATTCCGAACCACTGCTAGAGGAGACGGATATTTTTCGTCATCTATGGTATCTTACAACTTGAAATTGGCATGTGCTGACACACCAAGGATAAATCCAGGATTCGAACCTCATCATAGATCCCGGTACGCCTAAGGGACGAAACTCTGCAAGGCGTTTTACTGGTCGTTAAATGAATTGGCCACTCGTGCTCAAACCATAATGAATATTCGGGTACTATATGCTCTTCAAAATATAGAAACGCAAAGCCAGATTTGTGTGAGGTAGGAAAATACATTTATACAAGGAACCGTACAAGGTATTGAGCCCAAATGTTATGGAGAAGCACTTGGTGATTGTAGTCATCTCAGTACAAAGGAAAAGTCCAAGGTGAAGGCAAGCTACCATCAATAACGCGCATGTCCCCCGTTGGAATCGATAGCGGACTGACATCGCCTGCCCATGGAAGAGACGAGTATGCGAATCACATCTTGGGGAATGGTAGTCCACTCGGCCTGCAACGCAAAAGCCAACTGCTGCAACGTCTGGGGTTGTGATTGACGTCGGCGTAGCCGTCTATCCAATTCATCCCACAGGTGCTCTATCGGGTTCAAATCAGGGGATCGTGAGGGCCAGGGGAGAACATCAACGTTGTTGTTGTGTAGACAGGCTCTTGTGATCTGTGCTGTATGCGGTCGAGCGTTGTCCTACTGGAATACACCGTTGCCGTTGGCTGCAATTGTGAGGACGTGTGGTAGGAGAGTTTCGTTGATGTATCGTTGAGCCGTAAGATTGCCCTTGATATGGACCAAAGCTGTCCTGCCCTGATGAGAGATAGCCGCCCACATCATAACGCTACCCCCACCAAACCTGTCCACTTCCTGTACACAGTTTCCGGCGTGATGTCTGTAGACCCCTGCTCTTCCATCCCCTCAACGGAGGAGAAATCTTGATTCGTCGTGAAATCAGACATCTCTCCATCGCAGTTGAGGCCATAGCCTATGTTGACGACACCAATGCAGTCGTTGTCGACTCAATATGACGCGTCGAACAGGACGTCATGCTCGTAGCCACGCTGCTCTTAAACGGTTTCGTACGGTCTGGTCGGGGATTCTGCGCTGTCCGGGTAACTGGGGTGCTTTCACGAAGGTGGCCAGTCGGATGTAGCGATCTTGGGCGGGGGTGGTTACTCTTGGTCGTCCCCACCTTGGCCGATCACGTGTTGGCCCATGCTGTTAAAACCGATCCCATAGCCTTGTGATGGTGCTGTGCGCTACATTGAAAACCCTGCACTTTAATACCGTTCGTAGTGCTGCTGCACGTGCAGTGCGTGCAGCTCGATGGCCCTTTTGTTAATGCGCTAGGTGTCTTCTTCATCTTGCACCTCTTGTTCCGCTAATTTTGCTTTTATGGCCAAAAACTATCTGTATTGCGTTTCTTTTTTTAAAGAGTATATTTAAGTCAATGCATTGATTTAAATATAAATCATAGTATCCACGTAAACTTAATGTTTACATTATTTAAACACCCATTAAGATAATATGCTAGTTGTCAAATTGCATCATGAATTATCCAGTTTTTGTTGATATATCCGCTCTGTTTTGATAAATACCCTGGGCAGATTCGCCACAAAAGCTTCGCTTTAGAAGTTTGTTTGTTTGTTGTTTAACGCCGCGCTCATCAATATTCCAGCTATATGGACCAGAAAATCCAGTGATTGGCATCATGAGTATCGATCCACGCAACTAGGATACGATGACATGCATCAACCAAGTCAGCGAACCTGGCCACCCAATCCCGTTAGTCGCCTCTTACGTCAAGCATAGTCGCCTTTTACGGCAAGCTTGGGTTTCTGAAGACCTATTCTTCCCCGGATCTTCACGGGTCGATTGATATCATGAGCATCGATCTACGCAATTGGGATACGATGACATGCATCAACCAAGTCAGCGCCCCTGGCC